GGCCAGCAGCCGCAGTGAGTGGCCGTCCAGAGCCGGCGACTGATCTGCCTCGCCCAGGAAGAGCGCAATGATGGTGCCAACTTGGACCAGTGAAGCAACGTCCTCCACAACTAGACTGAAGAACAAAACGACAGCAACTTGTCTGTCCCCCTTCCCCCAATTCCCCAGCGCTGTTCCCATCCCCCCAAGTCTCCAATAAAAAAATCTTAAAAAAAAAAAAACTTTTCTATAAACATAGCTTGGTGTATGTATATAAAGCACATGGTAACGACAAACCAAAAATCTACCAGAGATATACAAGAAATAAAGAGAAAGGAACCCAAACACAACACTGTAGAAAGTCATCAACATATAAGAGAATAAGGACCCGAGAACTACAAAAACAAGCAGAAAATAAAAATGTCAGTAACTACACACCTGTCAATAATTAGTTTAAATGTAAATGAACTAAATGTGCCAATCAAAAAACATGGGGGTGGCTGAATGGATAAAAAAACAAGACCTGTACATATGCTGCCGACAAGAGACCCCAGTTCAGATGGAAAGACACACAGACAGAGTAAAGCCATACAAAAGAGTATTTCACACAAATAGAAATGAAAAAAAACCCGGGGTCGCAATACTTAGGCAAAATAACTTTAAACAAGGGCTGTAAGAAGAGACAAAGAAGGGCATTTCATAATGATAAAGGAATCAATCCAACAATAGGATATAACCCTTGTAAACATTTATTCACCCAATGTAGGAGCACCTAAATATATAAAGCAAATTCTGATGGACAAAAAGGGAGAGATTGATAGCAACACAGTAATAGTTGGGGACTTTAAAACCCCACTGACATCAATAGATAGACCATCCAGACAGAAAATCAACAAGGGAACACTGACCTTAAATGACACATTATACCAGATGAACTTAATTGATATTTTTAGGACACTTCACCCAAAAGAAGCAGAATATACATTCTTTTTTTTGTTTTTTTTTTCCCCTAAGCTGAGCCATCCTGCCACCTGTTGGCAGCTCAGCAGCAACTCAGCTCGGGCTGGAACTCGAACCGCTATTGCTCAGAGCTCAAACTCTTCAGCGAGCTCTTAACCAACTGAGCCACTCGGCTGGCCCTAGAATATACATTCTTTTGAAGCACACATCAAACATTTTCCAGGACAGACCACATGTTAGGCCACAAAACAAATCTCAACAAATTTAATACTGAAATCATACTAAGCATCTTCTCTAAACACAATGGTATGAAACTAGAAATCAATTACAAGAAAACTGAAAAACACACAAACACATGGATGCTAAATAACATGTTACTAAACAATGAATGGGTTAACAAGATCAAGGAAAAAAATCAAAAGATACCTTGAAACAAATGATAATGAAAACACAGTGACCCAAAACCTATAGGACACAGCCAAAACAGTTGTAAGAGGAAAATTCATGGCAATACAGGCCTACCTCATGAAACAAGTAAAATCTCAAATAAACAATCTAACCTTACACCTAAAGGAACTAAAAAAAGAACAAAGCCCAAAGTAAGAAGGAAATAATAAAGATCAGAGTGGAAATAATCAAAATAGAGTCTACAAAACTATAGAAAAGATCAATGAAACCAAGAGCTGTTTCTTTGAAAAAAATAAAGTCGATCAACTTTTAGGCAGACCATCAAGAAAAAAAGAGGAACTTAATAAATAAAATCAGAAATGAATGAGAAGGGACAACCGACATAATACAAAGGATTTAATACAAAGAAAATACTACAAACAATATATACGAATAAATGGATAAATTCCTAGAAACATGTGATCTTCCAAGGCTGAATCCAAAAACAAAACCAAGAAATTTGAACAGACTGAGAATTGCTAATGATATTGAATTAGTAATCAAAAAACTCCCAACAAAAGCCATGGACCAGGGCCGGCTGATTGGTGCGTTGGTTAAGAGTTGGCTTGGGACAGCAGCTCTGAGCAGCAGGGCCCCAGTTCGGATCCCACACGAGGGCCAGTGACGCTGCGCCCTCTACAGCTAAGACAGTGAACACCAGCTCGACCTGGAGCTGGGATGCCATGAGTCGCCGGTGATGGCGTAGGCTGCAGTGGGGCTTGCCGGCAGCGGGCATGAGCTTTCGTGAGCTGCCATGTGCCGTTGTAAGCAGCCATCCAATGGCCGGCGAGCGACTGCCTTACCCGGGAAGAGCGCAGTGATAATACCAACATGGGCCATTGAAGCCACGTCCTCCACAACTAGACTGAAGAACAAAAAGGATGGCAACTTGTCTATTCCCCTTCCCGATTCCCCAATGCTGTTCCCCTCCCCAATTAAAAAAAAAAAAAAAAATTCATGGACCAGATGGCTTCACAAGTGAATTGCACCAAACATTTAATGAAGAATTAACACCTATCCTTCTCTATTCCAAAAATATAAGAGGGAAGGCNTCCAATGGCCGGCGAGCGACTGCCTTACCCGGGAAGAGCGCAGTGATAATACCAACATGGGCCATTGAAGCCACGTCCTCCACAACTAGACTGAACTCCAGCTCCAGTTCCAACTTGTCTATTCCCCTTCCCGTGTCCCCAATGCTGTTCCCCTCTCCCCATAAAAAAAAAAAAAAAGCCATGGACCAGATGGCTTCACAAGTGAATTGCACCAAACATTTAATGAAGAATTAACACCTATCCTTCTCTATTCCAAAAATATAAGAGGGAAGGCTCCTACACTCATTTTATGAGTCCAGCATTACCCTAATAACAAAACCAGGCAAAGGCACTACAAAAAAAGAAAATTATAGGCCAATATTTCTCATGAATATAGACACAAAAATCTTAAAATATTAGCAAACCAAATTCAGCAATACCTTAAAAAAAAAATCATACATCATGATCAAGTAAGAGTCATTCCTGGGATGCAAAGTTGGTTCAATATCTGCAAATGAATTAACATGATACACCACATAAACAAACTGAAGGATAAAAATCATATGATCATATCAATAGATGCCAAAATAGCATGTGACAAAATCCAACATCCATTTATAATAAAAACTCTCAGCAAAGAGGAGATAGAGACAACATACCTCAACATAATAAAGGCCATATATAACAAACCCCCAACTAAATGTCATGCACAATGGTGAAAAAATATTTTTCTTTAAGATCAGGAACAAGACAAGTGTGTCTACTCTCACCACTTTTATTCAACATAGCATTAGAAGTTCTAGCCACAAAAATGAAATAAGAAATAAAAGGCATCCAACTGAAAAGGAAGTAAAACTGTCATTATTTGAGGATGACATGATACTTTTATAGAGAGAACCTTAAAGAGTCCACCAAAAAACTATTAGAACTAATAAAAAAATTCAGAAAAGTAGCAGGATGCAAAATTAATATTCAGAAATTGGTTGCATTTTTGTATACCAATAACAAACTATCAGAAAGAGAAATTAAGAAAACAATCTCATTGACAACTGCACCAAAAAGAATAAAATACCTAGGAATAAATTTAATCAAGGAGGTAAAAGACCAGTACTTAGAAAACTATAAGACATTAAAGAAAGAAACTAAAGACACAAATAAATGGAAGCATATACCATGCTCATGGATGGAAAGAATTAACATTGTTAAAAATGCCCATACTACCCAAGGAAATCTACGGATTCAATGCAATCCCTATCAAAATACCAATGGCATTTTTCACAGAAGTAGAACAAATAACTCTAAAATTTATACGGAACTACAAAAGACCCCAAATAGCCACAGCAATCTTAAGAAAGAACAACAAAGTTGGAGGTATGCTACATGACTCAAACTGTACTACAAGGTTACAGCAATCAAAACAGCATGGTACTGGCATAAAAACATACATACATATCAGTGGAACAGAATAGCAAGCCCAGAAATATACCCAGGCATATATGGTCAATTAATCTATGGCAGAGGCAAGAATACACAATGCGGTAAACTAATGTCTCTTCAATAAATGGTGCTGGGAAACCTGGACAGATACATGCAAAAAAAGAAAGAAAGAAAGAAAGAAACTAGACCATTTTCTTACACCATATGCAAAAATAATCTTAAAATGGATTAAAGACTTTAATGTAAGACCTAAAACCATAGAACTCCTAGATGAAAATATAGGCAGCAAATTCTGTGACATCACTCTTAGCAATATTTTTTTGGAAATGTCTCCTTGGACAAGGCAAACAAAAGAAAAAAATAAATGGGACTACATCAAACTAAAAAGTTCTTGCACACTGAAGGAAACCATCAACAAAATGAAAAGACAACCTACTGAACGGGAGAAGGTATTCACCAATGATACATCCGATAAGGGGTTAACATCCAAAATATATAAGGAACTCATACAACTTAACACCAAAACCACAATCTGATTTTAAAAATGAGCAGAGGACATGAACAGATTTCTCCAAAAAGGACATACAGATGGCCAATAAACATGTGAAAAGATGCTCAATGTCACTAATCATCAGGGAAATGGAAATTAAAACCACAATAAGATATAATCACACAACTCTCAGAATGGTTACCATCAATAAATCAACAAACAATTGTTGGAGAGGATGTGGAGAAAAGGGAACGCTCGTACACTTTTGGTAGGGTTGTAAATTGGTGCAGCCACTACAGAAAACAGTATGGAGGTTCCTCAAAAAATTAAGAATAGAATTACCATATGACCCAGCAATTCTACTACTGGGTATTTACCTAAAGAAATCCAAAACACGAATTGGAAAAGATATATGCACCCCTATGTTTACTGCAGCATTATTTACAGTAGCCGAGATATGGAAGCAACCTAAGTGTCCATCAACAGACGAACGGATGAAGATGTGGTACATATATACAATGGAATATTACTTAGCCATAAAAAATGAAACCTTGTCATTTGTTACAACATGGAGGGACCTATAGGGTATTATGCTAAATGAAATAAGTCAGAAAAAGACAAATACAATATGATTTCACTTATATGTGAAATCTAAAAAACAAAAACAAACAAACAAAACAAACTCACAGACACTGAGAACAAATTGATGGTTGCCAGATGGGCAGGGTGTTGGGGGATGGATGAAAAATGTGAAGGGATTAAGAATAAACTGCCAGTTACAAAAACAGTCACAGGGATGTACAGTAGTGCATAGGGAATATACAAGGTCGGACAATTAAGTTCGCGAACTTTGTTGCATCGATGTTGCTAACCTTTTTGGTATCAGAGGGATTATTCATTATGAATTTGTACCAACTGGACACAGTTAACCAAGTTTACTATTTGAAAGTGCGGAAAAAGCTACAAGGAAAAGTTAGATGACATGAACTTTTCACCAACAATTCATGGCTCTTGCATCACAACAATGCACAGCTCACACGGCACTGTCTGTGAGGGAGTTTTTAGCCAGTAAACAAATAACTATTGGAACACCCTCCCTACTCACCTGATCTGGCCCCAATGACTTCTTTCTTTACCGGAAGGGAAAGGGTATATTGAAAAGGAAGACATTTTGATGACATTCAGGACATCAAGGGTAATACGACGGCAGCTCTGAAGACCATTCCAGAAATAGTTCCAAAATTGCTTTGAAGGGTGGACTAGGCGCTGGTGTCGGTGCATAGCTTCCCAAGGGGAGTACTTCGAAGGTGACCGTAGTGATATTCAGCAATGAGGTATGTAGTACTTTTTCTAGGATGAGTTCGCGAACTTAATTGTTGGACCTCGTAGTCAATAATATAATTATAACTATGTATGGCTTCAGGTGGGTACTAGACTTATTGGGTTGATCATTTTGTAAGTTATATAAATGTCTAATCACTATTTTGTACACCTGAAACTAATGTAATATATGTCAGGTGTAATTGAAAAATAAAAAAGAATTTAAAAAAAAAAAGGAGAACGAAAATGGAGGCAGGAAGTGTGAGCTAAAAGGAACCCAGATATCACCCTGTCCCACCCTATTATATTCCAGGCAAAGGAGAGAGAACTGTCTGCCCTTCAGGAAAGACAGACCTCCCTGGCCTCTGCCTTACCTCCTGCAAGACACAAGGACAGTTACCTGCTGGCACTCAGGATGAAGTCCCTGAAGAATCCCTGGCAGCCTGGGAAGGAGGGGGGTGGGCAAGGCCCCCCACTGCTCTGAGGGGCCACAAGCCGTTCCTGTAGGCGCCGCAACCGCCCCAGCTTATCAGCTCCAAGCATACTTAACACATCTGGAGCCTCACCCAAGACAGTGCCCCCAGCACCACCAGGACTCTGACACATCTGGGGTAGGGGGAAGAGGAGAGAAATCAAAGAACTAGTAAGTTTCTCTGGAAAGGACTGAACAAAATAGAGGAAGTAATAAACATTTATGGAATGCTAACCCTCTATCAGGTACCACAGATACATTTTTCAAGGTAGGGATTATATTCTTGTTTTACAGGTGAAGAAACTGCAAGATTAGACACTTGCCTAGATTCACTAGATCTAGGATTTGAAACCAGGCCCATCTGAGTCCTAGGACAACGCTCCTTCTACCACAGCACAAATCAAGGGCAAGGTAGTAGTGAGAGGCTGCAGGCAGGCAGGGTACAGAGGGCATGAGGCCCAGGAAGGTGGGGGTGCACCCTGATTTCTCTCTGGCTGCCCGAGTTTCAACCATCACCCAAAGAGCAGAACTGTTGAAACTCCAGCCTAGGACTTGCCTGGCTGTCTGTCCTATCCCACAGTGCCAGCCATTACCTGGCTGTCTGTAACGCCTATTCTTCACTGTAGATTAATATCCTGCTGGGGCTTTTACCTGGAGAAGTTGTTTTTGGAAAAGCCGAACAAAATGACTGTGGCTGCAGGCTGCAGAGAGTTGGCCCATCATGGCTCTGAGGAATAAGAGGCAGGAATGGAGTGTGAGGGAGGGAAGAAGGAGGTAGAAAGATTTGACAGAACAAGCCAGTCCTTTGGCCTTTCCGCCCTTTACTGGGGACTTGAGCAGACCTCTGACAGAGCTGGCCAGCGCAAAGATGTAGGGAATGGGAAGGGACACTCCTCAGCGCTGAGTTCCCTTCAAGGTTAGAGATACACTCAGCCAAACTAGAAATAATATCCCTCTAATCTTCATTCTACACTGAGCGCCATGTGAAAGGTAGACCACTGGACAGAGGATATCCTTTCTGCATCCTAGTTATCCAGCTATGCAAAGTTATCAGAACTGCCAAACTAGACGATGGAGAAAACGGTGTTTGGAAAGGGTTTAATCAATGACTTGGGCCAAAACTCAAGCAATCTGGAAGAAGAGCTTTGCTATTTCCCAAGCATTCACCACCACAGAACAAGTATAAGTCACTTCTGGGAGGAAGGAACTGGCAAGATGAAGGATAGAAGATAACAGCTTTGGGCTGGCAGGAGTGGGGGGAAGCCTTCCTCCAATCAGCCGCCCAAGCACCACTGAACTGCCCGCTGCTAGAAGCAGGAATGACAAGGCGGCCAGTGTGTCAGCACCTACCTGATCCTGCTGCCCAAGCCCTTCTCAAAGTCCCAGCCAGGCTCCTCATGACGGTCTTCCCACTCGCGAAGCACCTCATAAAATACATCCCTGACAGACACACAAGAATGCCTGATCAACTGAGGCACAGCTGACCTCACTCCCAGCTGATCTAACTCAATCCCAGGAGCGTGTTCCCTAGCTCAGAAGAATTGAGGACAGGACTAGCCCCATTCTTTCTCCAAAGTTCTCTGTAGGGTGGTCATGCTACAACTCAGCAGCAGCACACCACATGCTTCATGTACTGCTGTGGGTAGTGGCAGTTGATCTGGCTCTTTTTTCTGAGAGCCCTGTGACTAAAATCATACACCTGTGAGAAGGCTGCTACAGTCAGAGGTTCAAGTCCATGGCATGAAACAGAAAGAAGCTAAGTGGCCCTTATGATTGTTGGCAGGAAGGGAACCACCACCTGTTAGTGCCAAACTTCTATTTTCTATGAAAACAACATAGGTTGCCTATCCCCAGAGTAAATGCAGCCTCATACCCTCCCCACAAATTCCCTTTTCTCATCACCTCTGTTTTTTAAAAGTGTGAAAGGCGCGGTCACTGGAGAAGTTGGCACGGTTGTCAGTCTCTGGCTGAAAGGAGACAGCTTGAACAGAGGGTGGCATCGCCAGAGAGACCTAAAATATGGCAGTGACATTACGGACAGAAGCCTGCAGAGTACATGCTAAGAAAACTTCATCCCTGTATTCCTGCCCAGAGTTAGCCCATAGGACACCAGAGTGATGTGAGCTGGGCTGCCTGAATTATGAAGCTGGGAAGGGTCTGGGCTAGTAGATGTCTAAGGTGGGGTCACTACCTTGGCAACACTGCCCTCATAGGCAGCTCGGAGGCGGCCTTGCAGAGCTGGTGAGAAGCACAGCAGCCGCTCATTCTCAGCCAATAGCTTCAAGGTCCCTTTGTCCAGGCAGGAAAGAACTCTACAGGGTTAAGAGCACATATGACTGAGAATGGGACACACACCGCAAATAGGAAGCTGTCACCTGAATACCACACAGAGCATTGTCTGGAGCAGGGAACAGGTACGAGTATGTAAGTCAAAGCCACAGGCCAAGGATTAAAATTGATGGAACCAATGGGGGGAGGAACTGAGACCTTATTGAGCAGGGAGCAAGAGAGCAGGACAGGAACATTAGATATTACCCCAAAGGTCAGCCACCAAAACCACAGGGGGCAGTTTGAGTCTTTCAGGAACTAAATTCATAGCCTTGACACACAATTAAAGGTTACATGTAGGAAAAGGTCCACAGTCACCGCATTTGTGTTAAGCACAAGCATGCACCCCAAGTGACAAAGGGACAATGAGAATAAGGCTCAAATGCCTCTGCTGGGGAAACTCACTGAAACTGATGCTCCAAAACCTGTACTGCAAAGAAGACACAATCATGGACACTCTGGAAGAGTGGGCTTTCCAGGGAATCTAGAAGGATAGTACCAAGCTGTCAATTAAGAATTATTCCATCTCCAGACCCCACTTCTCAAAAAGAGGCTTGCTCACTGACCTACGGTTCCTGGACTCAGTTCAAGGTCACTGTCCTTGGCAGCCACCATCCTCCGGGCAGTAAGGAGCTGAAGGACGAAGAAAAGCTCCAAGAAGAGGTTTGGCACCAGATTTTCTGAATACAAAGAGAAACCCCAGCATATTGGGTGCCATTCAGAATCAAGGCTCAGTCTATTGCACATGCCTCATCAATTCTCTTACCTTATAGTTCTACAGGTATCTCCCCACCAGCGCCCTTTGCTCACTCACCTGCAATGCATGAAGAGTAGACAAGGGCTACCAGCTGCAGGCGCTGGCGGAAAGACACTTTGGCAGGGTCAGCGGGTTCAGCTGTGAGGTTTCCTGTCCGACTGGGGAGGGGAGACCCCAATTCTGAAGTGGGACAGGTGGGAGCAGGTGACTGTTGCAGGTGCTTAGAGCTATAGAGATAGAAGAGAGATGTCATGAGCAGTCAGCTTGGCTTCCCCTCCACAGCCATACTCAGGTTCCTCCAGAGAGGCCATCCACAACCCAGGAAAGAGACCCAGGGTTGGGCGGGTGCGGGTGCGTATCTGTCTTAGGGAAAAGCCCTGCTGATCCCCACAGGAAGGAAGCTAACATCCCAGGAAGCAGCAAGGCCATACCGCTCCTTCCTGAGCATCTCCCGCTCCTCTTGCAGACTTCTGCACCCTGGGGGAAGGCCATGGCCCCAAGGGCTAGAGTCCAGAACTAAAGGTTGGGAACTGGGGACACAGTTGATTGGGGGTGAGGTGAAGCAAGTCTTGGGCTTGGAGAGTGATCGCTCTTCGCTCACCGGAGTTGGGTTGATCCTGCGTGAAGGCTTCGTCCTGCTGAGAGTAGCCACAGATTTTTCTCAAATTCCCATCTTTAAGCATCCACAACAGCTGGGGCCCTTGCAACACGCCCCCTCATCATTGTAATGATCTCATCCCCAACCTTCTATAATAGCTATTCCCACGCTCCACTACGGGGCACCCAGCCCTAATTTATTGGCTCCCCTAGTACAGCCTTTGAGCCACCCATCTCCTGGATGAGGGCTGATTCTCACCCTGCAGGGCCGGGGGGAACGGAGCCTACGGGAGGGAACTCCTCCAGGTTGCTGAGGTTTGGCGGATCAGAGCGCGTGAGGCTGGGGCTGCCGGGGCTGCCAGAGGCCCTAGGCCTCCGGCCCCCTGCCCAGCACAGACTCTCCCCGTTGACTCCCTCCTCCAGGCTCCCGGGGCCGCGGCCACCTCGCTCGCGGGCCGGCCCCGGGCCCCGCCTCCTGCCCCCGCGGCGGACCAAAGGGGCCTCGGTTGTGGCGGCGGCGCTCGAAGACTCGGTCGGAGGGAAGAGCTGGCTGCGCGCCCCGCGGCCGCCCCGCGGCTGGCCCCCGGGCCTCCCTGGCAGGGCTGCCGAAGAGCCCGGGGCCTTGGCGGGGGTTGGGGGGCCCTGCGGGAGGACACGGCTGCTCTGCTCCCTCAGGAAGTTCAGCAGGAACGGCACGAATTCCTTCCGTAGTGGCCGGAGTGAGCTCAGCGCGGCCGCCTCCCCGGAGTCATCCTGAGGGAAAAGCAGCGAGGGGCGAGAGGGTGAGCTGCTAAGCCCGGGGCCGCGACCAGCCGGCTCCTAGTTGGAGCGCTCCCGGCCCGGGCTGACAGCCAGTCACCCTAGAGGAAGGGGATCCAAGGTATCTCCCGTGCAAAGTAGATTCGGGCCGGGCCTGGGGGCGTGTCGGCCCTGTTACCTCTGAATTCTGGGTGCAGCACGCGATCCACCGCACCGCGGCTGCGACCGACACCTCCTCTCGCAGTAGCGACTCCAAAACGGCCGCCATCCCGGTCGGGGCGCTCCGAGGCGATTGCGCAGGCGCCGGCGCGCCGCGGGCGGCCTGGGAGGGGCGGGGCCGGAGCCGAAGGGCGACAGTTGGGCACTGGGATGGGAGGGCGGAGCCGAGGGCGGAGGGGCGTGGCCGGCGACGGCCTGCGGCAGCGGAACTTCCCCAGGCTGAGGCTTGGCTCAGGCCTTCAGTCAAGGCCGCGGCTGTGTTCGCAGTCCCAGACGACAAGCTTAATGATCTGCGAAATGCAGCCGCACCGCTATCGCCCCTGCACCGAGGGGCGACCTGCCGAGGCTTGGGGACGCGGCGGGGGAGACCGAGGGGCCGGGACAAAAGCCAGACGGTAAAGGTGAACAATTCTCCGGAGACACCTGCCTATGTCTTCTACGATAAGCACATTTTCTTTCAAGAGTTGAAGTTTTGTAGGTTCAACCGTCATCACCCCAAAAAGGTTAATAAAGTTAGCCTAACCTCATTTGAACTTGTCTTTCTCAAAGGCTGTTTTCAATCCCCTGGCCCATGCCGTGACCACTGGTTTTCCAGCACTGTCAACTGATTGACCATTTAAAACTGAGCCAGGATGGCTTTATACAATCCTCAGCCCACAACCGTTAGTGTCTCAGGCCACCCTGCACACAGAATCACTTGTCTGTATCTTTACCTCCCTTAACGTTGTAATGATGAGTTTATACCAATTAATATTTCATCTACTTTGCAATTGAAATGTTAATAGGCACATTCATGATTAGCTTCTGGGAACTTGAGTTATTCTCTTATTTTGAAAAACATGAGAGCCAGCTCTGTGGAAGTTGCTGCTCACTGAGAAATCAAGAAAAGGAAACCAGGCGGAGAAAAACAGATGGCACTACCACTCCAGGCCAAACCAAACCAGAAGGGGTGAAGCAGTGATCACGAGAATGCCTCCTGAGAGTTCCTCTGGTTCAAAGGAAGATTACAAATGGAAAGGAGGTAGTGGTGGGGGGCAGGAATCAATTTAGTGCTTGGGGTGTTTCCTGTGCAGAAGGAAAAAGTACCTACAGCCAGGGCTAGAATGATGGACTGAAACTGTTTTTTTAACACTTTCAATTTTATTACACAGGGAATCATATCCTCATATCCCTGAACCCTGCCTGGTTTTTATCTGCAGGGATACTGATAGTTCGTATTCAATTCAGCACTTCTTATTCTAGGTCACTTGTGGATGTGGTACTGCATTTATAGTTAACACTTCTGCTCACCGTTGATCTTGGAACCTCTGGTGCATTCAATAATTTTATTAGAAAAATAATATTTACCAGTTTTGAAATTCAAGCCATCACACAAATAGAACTAGAGTTTGCATGCGGAATGAATATTTTATTACTAGATTATAAAAATAAAATACAAAATAATTTTAAAACAGAACTTAAAACACTGTACAAAGCTTTAATATGATACAAATGGGAAAATTAAATAAATAATTACACTTTTATGTACAGATGGCCTATACAAAAGCACTCCATGTTTCTGCCAATACTCTAAGTCCTTGGTTGCCTGAGCAAAAATGCATAAAGAAAGCTGCTTGGAGGAGAAAGGGACACAATACCTTTGGAGGCATTCCAAAGAGCAGTTCCTCATCACGGATTTCATGAGGAGGAAAAGAAAGGGAGAAAACTAGAATGATTCAAGTCTTCTATGCTAACTTATTGGTCTTGCTCAACAAGAGTTCTTCCGGTTTGTGGGTCAACCTGATTTAACAGCTGCCAATAGTTCCTTTCAAGATTGTTTTCCCCCCTCTCTCTTTTTTCCTAAAAGCTGTGAACTTGTAAGTATATAGCCTAATGAAATCGGTACTGTTGTAGGAAAGGAGCCAGGAAGGAGACCAGGGACTGTGTATGAGAGAGAAGTGCGGGTTCAAACCTGGGTATCTGATCGATTCTTTGATTCACCATATCCAAGTTCAAAGCTCCAAGTGGCACGTTGTTATGTTTCCTTATCTTCCTATCTGTATTTCTAAATGCTTTTTACCTTACTGAACTGATTTACCTATCTGGCGAATAGTTTAAAAATGAAATAGTCTTGAAAAAGTCCCAAGTTGCCCCTCCCTGGGTTGCTCCCTAAAATAAATCAGTCAAGCTTAGCCTTGTAGGTGAATGAAGAACACCCAGACAGACTCCAGGTATGCTTAAGTGCTGTGCATGAAATTTTACAGATTTAAATTGATATTATAGGGGGAAAAGCGCATATGGCATGGGTAGTTTATACAAAAACTTAAGTTTACTAAATGTTTTTAACTTGGGTGAATGAACACTTCTGTACACAATATGAAACCACTGAAAAGAAAGACAATTCCTATCCATTATTAGTGTGTAAAATTATGTCAAAAGCAAATTCTATAGTCACATGGTCTCAAGGATCTGTCTCAGTGAATCTAAGTTAAGGAACCCAGAACTAGGGTATCTGAGAGACATGTCAGCATGTTTAGAACCACCTTATTCCCTTCTCTAAGTTACGGTCTAAGTATGCACCTATGGTTTCTGAACTTGGGTAAATAAACCGAAATGTGAGCACTACCATAGTGGGTTCCATGCCTTAAGCCTGTGATATTTTTTGTATTAAAACATAAGTATTCTCCAAATAAACTGTCTACCGAACCAAACAAACTCAAGAAAGTTAAATAATGCAGATGTCAACCATTCTATTGCTTCAGTGATACAGGTGCTAAAATTTCTCTCCCTTTAGGCAAAGACCCAACATCTGTGGTAAACACACAAAAGCAGAAATGGGCAGATGTTAAGACAGTGAATGCAAACAACTTAATTCCAAAATACATGAGCATGACAGGAACAATGGTTCTCTATCATATGTCAGGTTTTGATAGATATAAAGGAATGAAAAAAGTTTTAAAACGTGAAAATTTTGATCTCCAAGACTAACTATGGACTTTTATCTACAAATAAATATAATTTCAAATAGCCAGAGTAAGATACTTCCCCTCCCCCAAGCCATTAAATTCCAAATTCTGGATCCTGTTTCTCCTATCACCAATTCCTTTTGTTAGATTAAAGAATGTAGTTCCTAGAACAAAGGCTCCTCTGCTCTTGGGGAAAAAGCATCTGTTTTTAATTCAAAGCTACTGGGTATAGAAAAACTAATTGTTTTAACTATCTGTGTCTGGGTTAATAAAACATGCACCAATACACTTTTTCCTTATAAATTGAATATAACCATAGAAACATTCGCATAAAAATCTGTGACCTGGAAAGAATCCTGATGATTACTAAAGAACCTCAAGTTCCCATAGTGGCTAGGAGCTAAACAAATACTGCACAGCCAGTGCACTGCATTAATAAACAGCTGAGATTTGTTTAGTATTTTAAAGCAAATTATATAAAGTGGATAATAAAATGGTCTCAATTACCATTTTGCTATTTATTTAGGACTTGATTAACTTGGCAGCTTTTACAAAAAACAGTCACTTCACAACATGCAACTTAAAAAACAGTAAACGTAGCTATGCCATTGTCAGCAAGGCCAGCTTGCACACCAAGTTGAGAATGACAGTGCCTGCCTAAGACCATTCAAAGGTGTTTATAATCCGTGCTTTAAAGTTAAATTTGATATGACCCAATTTTCCTTCTTTGTTCATTATATGTTAAAGTTAAATGCCTTTAAGCTATGCAAAAGATTACTTAATATTTTAACCAACCTGTAAACCCTGGAGATTTGGCAGCATAATTTAGAAAAAATGCTAGCTAACGGGACTAAACTGTTGCTAATTCCATGTTCTGTTCCACTCAAGTAATTTCAGAGATTAGACAGAGAGGGTACAGGCAAGTGTGACTAGGTAACCAGCAATTTTGTTATGATAGGAGAAACCATGAGGCACTTGATTTTCAAAAGATAATTTTAATTTCTGCCCCATACTTCTAGTATAGTTTGGCTTGACTTTAATTAATGATCATGTCCCTCATCTTAGGTAGAATAACCAAACTGCTTTAAAATTACTTGGATGATCTATGTTTGTCACTGAAATCTGATACATGCTATCATTTAAAAAAAAATAAAGAACTAAAAATAACATCAACAACACAACTTATTCTCTGTGTCATACTTTAAAATAAAACAAAAACAAAAATCCTTGTACCAAAAGTGCTTTGTTCAGGGCGGCCAACTTCTCTTCTTAGACCGAGATATGTAACATCTAAGCACAAACTGCTTTTACAAACCATAAAGTAAATATATAAGATAGTACTTTTAAGTGGACCTATTGATATATAAGATATAGTCTGTGTTCTTTTGAAAGTATCAAGCAGAAACATCTTTGGTTAACTCTTTCCTCTACATGCAAAATAAAATATTCTTACACAATGAGGCTGTTTCTGGATGTTTGTCAGTGCCATTTAGAAAAGGGGGCAGCAGTGGAAAAGTTGGGAGAAAAACAGAAGGAACCAAGAAGGAGAGAAAACATTAAGTTGCCACGTTGCCGTCACTGTCAGTTTTGACTGCTCGCAGAGAAATGACAATAAGAAAACAACACACACACCATAACTGTAGCCTCGTGAGCTTTTCCAAGGGTTACCATGAACACATTTCTGGCTAATGGGGTTAGGATTTAAAGCTGGCTACTTTTAGCACAATTTAGTTAATACAACAGAAAAAAAGATAATTTCTTAATTGTAGATTACTCCCCCACACCCCCCCCCAAAATAGTGAGGCGAGAAGAGGAATAGTAGAATGGTCATTTTACAGAGATTTTTAAAGAACAATTTACGTGAGACCCATGAGTATCATCCCAGTTTATCCACTCTAACCATAAGGGCAGAATTATGTGATTAACATGGCAAATCTTTGAACCACTATTACAAGCATGTCCTACTAATTTTTTCCCCTATTAAGATCTTTTAAAAATGAAAATTCAATAACCTATCTTGGCTTGTTGAAGACTGCCAACCCTTGCATGAACACAAGGAAGGCAAAAAATCTGAAGTGTCACATGCCAAGAACATATTTTCAGAAAATGAAGCTAGGCAAGGCCCAAGTGTACGCGAGGCACACAATAAAAAGGAATTTCACCATCTGTGATCTTGAAATTACAAATGGAGAATGAGAAAGAATGAGTTTATATAAGCATATGTTTCTCTATATATTTATAAATATTTATATAATTTACCATTGAAGACATGCAAGTTGTGTTACAGCAACTATTGTACAATATATTACAGAAGCATCGGTCTTCCAGTATTACAGTTGCTTTAGGTAAACAGCAGATATGTCCTATCTATTGCATTCCTCTGTAGTACTTGAAACTGGAGAGAAATCAAGATTCCATACTATGCTACACTTCTTATGGGAGACCAAATATGCCTCAATAGTGTTTTGAGTTGGTTTTTTTTTTCTTTTAAAAAAAGCTCAACACAGATAAAGAGAACAAGATAAGTTCAGTGCAGCTTCAGGGCAGCTTTAATGCAGCATTAGAATATGTTCACCTGGTGAGGAAATATATTTTTCTTTTTTTTGTTTTCCAATTCAACCGTGTTAGGTTTGGCAGCAAACACAAGGTCAAAGAGAAAGCACAGATGTTTGCTAGAAGGCAAATTTCAACAGCAAGCTGACCAATTTTCCTGACCTTAATGAGGTCTTTACAACACAAAAAACACCTACAGAGTATAAAAGAGCCCATTTAAAAAGTCTACTGTGATTTAATTTTGCCTGATTCCTGTCAGCAGAAGAGTGAGATCAGAACAAACATGATCTTCCTTACAGCTTTATAAATTGAAGACTACATGGAAATCAGGTCAAGAAGCCCAAATGTTCAAACTAAAGCACAGGAGAAGCAGGTAATAAAACATTAAAAGATAAATATTGAATCTAAATTTATTTCCCCAGATACTCATTCCTTATTGGCTAAATGTATAAAACACAAAGTTTGAGGATTATAAGCCTCAACAACATACCTAATTTCTATTTTTCTTTCTAAATCTCTAAAGCATACAGTCACAGTCCATGGCATTGTACTTTGTTGGTATCATCTTAAGAGTTTGATATCAGAAATAGTTGGTACCTAGGAGACTTAAGAAGCAAGGTCTACACTGGTCAGTTTTCCTTCCATAAGGAGGAAACTAACAGGGGGAAGAGGGTTCTTGTATCTTGAAGGGCCCCACTCTGTCCCTCTCTTCCTAATGCACTACAGCCTGCAAACTCGCACTATTTAGACTTTTCCTTCCTAAGTTTTCTTACCTAAGTTTCATCAGTTATTTCTCACAATAAAAATATGCTGAGGATATGGTGCTCCAAAGAAAAATGCTAGGGTACTAAAAAACGTAACTGGATTTGAAATTCTCAGCATGTCCCGAAAAAAGCACATTAGAATGTATTGTTCAAATAAAAGAGAGATTGGATCAGGTGAGAAGCACTAACTTTAAAAAATGTGAAATCCAGGGAGGGTACTAGGAATGAGGCAAAGTAAAGGAATGAACTCTCAATACGCTAGATGAACATCTCAATCAGCATTGGCTCCTTGGCAACAGACTTCTTACATACTTTAATATCAGACAATTCTGACTCTCCATGGTTGGGAAGTTTTGAACAAAAATATTAAAATAAGAAGTTTCACTTTTGCGATATATAATCTTTGAGTAGAGCCTTAAAAACAAGTAGGCCAAATGCCGTGAAATTCCATTCCACCTCCTACCTTCAACACTTTCGTTTCAAAGGCAGCTAAAAAAATGAGAGTTCATTTAATCAGTTTCTCCCCCTGGGCTGTGCTAGACTGCCCCTTTCTATGCAAAGGCATTGATTCTTGATCTGCTTGCTGCCTGCCTTAGGTAATTCCTTATCATATATTTATGTCTCCTTAGAAATAATTTATCATGTTACTTTCTTTTGCAAGAGAAAATCAACACTGATTTTTTAAATAGACAGTACAGGGACACACATGCATCAGGTTTAGGAGGAAGATCTCACACGGCTCTCAGAGATGCAGCCTGGCTCCTATCTGCTGAGTTTACTGGCTGACTTACTCTTCCCTGGGGGGGCTTTCGTGCTGGCAGAGTGGTGGTGGAGGCTCCCAGATCCTTTCAGGCCATTCTTGCTGGGTTTGCAATGCTCCTGTTGGCAGGACCTCCTGGAGGATGACGATCCCGAGTGGCTGGGTGGTGACTTGCTTCTCCCCAGATGTGGGGATGAACTCCTCTGGTCATGGTGGGGCCGTCCAGCCCGAGACGGTGAGGAACTAGACGTGCGAGGCAAGGAAGAACTTCGAGGAGAGGCACTGGGACTCCTGCGAGGGACCACTGGGCTCTTGGGTGGTGTTTTGGGATTGTGAGGGGATCCTGGGCTCTTGCACTGAGTAGGGCTCCGGGGTTTCTGAGATCCATTTTGAAGAATTTGGGCCAGGCGGGAGAAAAGGTCTGAATCGGAATTGCTACTCCCTAGTACTTTATATCTGCGGAGCCTTGAAAGGATAGAGAAGAATTATTTTCATTTTAATTCATTTCAAGTGTGCCCAGAAAGTCACAACGTCCCAAATAATAATGTGTATGATGTGAGTCAAAATCAGGAAACACAGGATACAGAGTTCTTCTTTCCCATACCTGTTGTATGACGCTGGAGAAATTATTTAACCTCTCCTAGCTTTTAATGGGAATACTATCAATTTCACAGTGTTACTGTGCAGCCAAGTACAATAACCCAAGTAAAGTACTTAGTTAGGTATCTGCCTTTCAGAAGCACTTAACTGTTGTTCATCCCCTTCTTCCAATGGCATGTTTGCTCATCTAATTTTAGGATTAAATAAAACGTCTCTAGCATGTAAGCATGAGAGTGAGAGGAAGAGGGAGAAAACCATGTTGTTTAAGGCTTCTAGGGCAGCAAATTATATATATATATATATATATATATATATATATATACACCGTATTTGCCAGCGTATAAGACGACTGGGCGTATAAGACGACCCCCTAACATTTCCACTCAAAATACAGAGTTTGTTATATGG